GTACTGTGTAGTGGATTGCGAAGAAGGGGAATGGTGGAGCTTGCTAGGGAGGAAATTGGGGAGTATTTATAGATTTCTAGATCAGATACATCGCGGGTTGTTAATAATTGAATTTAAATCCGAAGCGACTGGAATTTCGCTAATCTTCTTCGAGCCCGATTGGCGATATAGTGTAATTAGGTTAAGAAAACCGATCGACGCTTGAATATCCTTAGGTAACCATGTGTCATTCTGCAGTGTGTTGAGGATGCCATAAGTCTTGGTCATCCTTAGAAACAAAGTTAGATAGTGGGCCGTGCCGAGGCATCTCTTAGCTTATAAATGAATATTACTTAACTAGCGTACCCGATCATTGAGTATAGAATTATCTCTTGATCGCTCTTCGGTGATCGTGAGTAGGATATTGAAATTCTAGAATATGTAATATTCTCCCAGTCCCAAGGTTAAGAACCCAACCGAACTAAGTCACTACTCTCGCTTTGATATCTTCCAGCTCGGCAGTCTCGAAACCCCATCGCGATATGCCATTAATTAATTGAGACATGCAATCAATACATGCTACGCGCAGGCACATTAGTCATGACTCAAACAGATATACATCAGCGACATAGGTCTGTTTAACGATTCCATGAGGAAGGGAGGGCTGGCGGCTTTGCGGAGCCTGAGCGCCTGAGGCTAATTCACCCTCAAGGGATCAACCCTATACCAAGCTGTAGGTAAAGAGCATCCAGTCACGATAGATCGCAAACTTCATTCTATTCTCGATTCTCATCGAACCATGTACTTGAATTAGTATATATCTATTCTATATATTATACACCTGAGGGGAGATACTAAAACCCGGGTGCTCATTGGATGTCTGTGACGAGTCACACCCATGTATTGAAGCACTCATGACTCGCAATCAATAGCAGGGATCATCAAGCCGTCACGCTTGATATCATAGGAAGTCAAATTCTAAGCCTAATTCAGGACAACGAGCAAGACTGTGCTGAGTTCCCGGTCCCGTGCATCGTGCTATCGGTTGTGGGCAAGCCACCCGGTTGCGGAGGTCGGTTTTAAGATCGGTGCCATAAGGATTGAGCGTTTCCCGTTGAAGGAATCGTCAGATCGAGTTCCCGGTGACTCTTGAGGTCCCAGCACAGCATTTGTCACCATATTCACTGTCTGGGTGTTCGACAGCTCAGCCTTCGCCCAGTCTTTGCAACAGAACAGGTTGAAGGGTGAAACTGGGTCGCCGTCTTGGGGCGGCGTGGGTAACCACAGGTCTTCCGTTGTGGAATGCCACCCTCCCTCCAGACCATCCGGCTTGGTCAACATTGTCAGTTTATGAAGTGTGTATCCGTTGGCCTTCGTGGATGTCGGTTCCGTGTAGAAATCATGCACGCGGGCATGCTCGGGAACGACGGACGCATCCTCGGTGGCAGCGACCTCGTCCGGATCCAGACCTGCTTCTTCGAACTCCATGATCTGTGTAAATACCACGTGGTAGTGGCTTACTTCATACCACCATTCTTTTCTCGGCATCCGCCGCAGCAGATCTAATCCTTTGCGACGGAGGCGCGGCCAGCGGCACTTCCAAGCCACAGCGTGGAGCGGGTATAGCAAACCGAAATCGAGACAGAGGGTTTTCGATAGCTCATCCGGGTAGCGGTCCGGGTCCGACACGATCTTCTCGCCGATGCGGACAATCTCCTCGAAGTCCGCTCGGTGGTCGTCCCAGGCGCACTCGCAGCCCACGCGGTACGTCGTCGTTCCCATCACGGTCGAGTACCACATCAGACGGAGGACTTCGGCCGCATCCTGCTCGTTCTTGTTCCACGTGGAGCCCTGCCGTCGAACCAGGTCATCGAAGTTCGTTTTCCAGCGGTCGCGCGTCTGCCGAAGTCCGCCGATGATCGTTAGCAACCCAGCATCTGGTAGCTTTCCTGATTGTAAGTTCTCATCCAATAACTGGAATACCGCCGCAGTGGCGGTGACCAAGTCCACCATCGCCACCCTGACTTCGCGGAGGCTTTCAAATCTGTCCGTTAGAATGAGCAGTCCGGTATCAACCGGGTTCAGCAACACCTTTCGGCGTGTGCCGGGATGGAACTCGGAACTGTTGAGGTTGAAGAGACTCAGGATCGGGGCCAATTCCGTTTCCACAAAGTGCGACTGGAACGACGAATACCCCTGGCCCCACGGCACCTTCGGCCGACCACCGGTCTTCTCGCGCCATGCCCACAACAGGTTAATACCGTTCGAGATATGCGACGCTGCGGCGGACGCGTTCCCCCGAAGGAACTCAAAGGCCGTGAACAGAATGCTGGCCACCACGACCACGGGGATCGCGCCTGTATCGGCGGCGCTTTTCTCGATCGTCGAGCGCAGCGCCCGGGTATACAGCTGGATGGCCGGATGTGGATCGCCACCTGCGGCATTAAACGAGGGGAGCAGTCTACTGCCTCCTTTGTGCTCATGCAACGAGCCTATTGCAGCGATGGCTTGGCGAATGGCGGGTTCCACAAGACTGAGTTGGAGGACAGAGACCTTCCAGAACGAGCCTTCAAAGAACCCGGCCAGCTGGGAAGACGACTTGTGAAAGAAAAACTCCAGCGCGCGTGACTCCGTACTCGACTTGGCAGTCGTGACGGTCAATAGCGGCTGGGAGATGCTGGATGGCGCCGTCTGCGAAGCATAGCCGTCGCATTTTCGTCCCGTACTGATGCACCTGAACACTGCTTGTCAGTTCCACGGCCCCATCGCGTCTCACGGCGTCTGCTGTGTTAGTCGTACCGGGTGCAGGCGGGCTTGCCTTCATCACACTTCACTTTCCGGATCCTGCGTCGCAGATGGTTTTAGCACCGATTTACCCCCTGGTATGAGCTCCGGTAGCACTAACTTGCAGGTGATACAGCCCGTCCGCACTTTCGGTTTACTGGCCCGCTTCCGTTTCACTGGCGTCGGCATTTCCGATACGACTAGAACTCAGAGCCCTATGAGACGTCTAGGTCAGGAATAGATGTCCTGGCCAGAATACGAGACGCACGATGATCGACGTCTTACCTCACGTGATCACAGGATACGTCATACTGCCTATTTTGGGCATCACAATTGGAGGCCAGGCGATACAGTATATATAGCATAGGGTTGCAGTTACATATATCTTCCCCCCTGGAATTTGAGCGAGGCCTCAGCCCTAACCATGATTGGCAACAGGTCGCGTTGGTCTCATTTGTAGAAGTTGTGTAGCACAAACTATATATAACCACTAACGGTCCGTCGAAACGGTTTCGGGAGTGTATCTTCCGGGTCTCTATGATTATGCCACAGTCTTGATTTAACGATAAGCGTGGAGGTAGAGTAAAAGTCCCGTTCCGAGGCCTTAACCGGGACGCTAATCTCGGATGTCCCTTATCTGGACACATACCTACAACGCGGCCTAACAGGATTTGCGTCCATGTGGAGTCTACCGCCATAAAGGTGTGATACAACCCATCGCAAGGCGTCCACAGGTACAAAGCCCGATACGACACCAGGAGAGTGAGGAGTGGGGTCTGTCTCAGGCGCTGACAGTAGCTCTACAATGCCGGCCAGCCAAGAAACGCACAGAATCTTTGAGACCTACTTGGCCGAGAGAAGGGACAATGCACATAGTAGCATCGGGGACCTTGGACACGCATGGTGATACGCCAAACTCCATGCGACGGGGGTTGTTTGGCTCCAGTGGGCCGTCCATTGTCTATAAAAGCCGCCGTCCCGTGCAAAGGAAATGGAAACGTAACACACTTGAGGTGACAATGAAACTGTCGGCAATAGTAAACAGACCGGGTATAGCGTGGACGCCGTACGACCGCTAGACCTTCCAACTTGGATCCAGTATCGAGCACTACGGGGATCTTGAACACTTAGGGCCGGGTCACACAAAGAAAGCCTCCCGATAGCGTTAGTCGGAAACACGAAGCTCCTAGAGCCCGACACTAGATTCCTGACCACGAAGCTTAGTTTATCCGGACTATTAACATGGTAGAAGATTGCCAAGGCGGCTCATTAGAATGTCATGAAACTGATATTAGTAAAATATGGATGGGACAGAGTCTGGGATACACTTCACAATCATGACATGCAACAGTCAGCTTAGATAGAGTATAGATAAAGTAAAAAAAGAGTTCGTATAGAAACCAACATCCTATGCGCCACGGCAGGACACATGCAATAATTCGCTCAGATACTTGACAACCCAATGCGTAGATGCAAATTCATTATTTACCGATCATCACTGGGCGTTCAGAGCGCCCGCTGCCCATACACGATGTGCAGTCGCGAGTACAAATGGAGCGACGTATCGCGCAATTCCCTCCGCATGCCTGCCACCAGCGCCTCGATCTCAATCCGGTGCCAACCAAGCATTCGGGTAAACAGCGCATAGCAGTAGGGCGGCATGGCCTCGATCATGTTGACCTGATGGTAACGACCGAGCTCCTTGAGCTTGGGGTCTTTGGGCCAGGGGCTTTGGGGGAGCTGTGGCCGTTAGCGTTTCCTGTGCACGGGATAGAGAATCAATACGTACCTTGTACACGTCGTCGCGAACGTTGACGAAGCCGGCGTTTTCCATCTGTGTTTTCCAGTTCTTCACAGTGTCGAAATCCTTGCCGAACTTCTTGGCACTCAGGTGCATGTGCTTGACTCCGTCCATCATCGATGTTGCTTTGAGATGTGTGCCGTCGTCGGAGAAGCAGTTGACTTCGATCGAGGCAATTTCCATCCATCCACCGGGCTTCAGATTGGCCAGGGCCTGCTCGAACAGGCGGTCGTGATCGCGGATGAAGCCTTCTAACTCACGACCGTGGATGTAGTCGAAGGGTTGGCTGTAAGACCAGGGCGCTTCGAAGTCATCCACCTCGAAGCGGAGGTTGGGAGGAATCCTAATCAATTAGTTATGTCCGAACGACCGGGACGCATTGATCATACCATGACGGTTGAATAGGACTGAGATCGTTCCCTAAGCCGACCAGTCAATACTGAGTCCTTTGTGGACAGAACGAGATGCCTACCAATCACTTCTGATTCGGGATGTTCACTGGTCTTATCAGTATTTAGCCAATGCCTCTCCTGCCGGTCGGACTTACTCTGCAAAGTCGATAGCCCAGATGCCAGTTCCGGTGCCAATATCCAGGACCCTAGCGGGGTTCTTGATAGGGGCCGCATGCAGCTCTCCTTTCAGGATCATCCGATAGATGTGATGGCTCTGTTCTCGTTAGTTTGGCCATTTCGATTGTTCACCGATGCTTCCAGTAGGCTCAACCAACCAAGTCCAGACGGTCTTGTTCTTGCTCGTCATTAGGCTGTCCAAGTTAGTATAACTCCTCGAGAAGGCAACGGAATACCCACCAGAATGTATTCGCCCTCATGATACGAATGATATCTGCGACCATTCTGTACGATATACTTAGTAAGCGCCACAATACCGTGGTTGAGCCAAGAAATAATACCTCATATCTGTGCCGTTAGCAATATCCCCACAGAAGTATGACCTGTTACATACTGATAGTTCATGGCACTTGACGTAATACTGGTGGTATAACTGGCGTCTCCCAGTCTACAATTGTCAGCCCGTCGATTTAGGCGATAGGACTTCGCCACTTACGATCCCGCATATAAGGAATCACCGTCGGCATCCGAGAAGGTCTAGGAAGTCTAGTTAGCCGAATCTTCTTCCCCCACTACTAAGATAAGAATGGACCAACATCAGGTTCGATGATGCCCTGAACATGTCCCTGTATTTCTGGTTGCGGTTCTGGTTGTGGTGCTTGCTGCTGTTCTTGCTGCGGTTCTCGTTCTGGTTCCGCTTGAGGTTGAGCTGGAGTTTGAGCTGGAGTTTGAGCTGGAGTTTGAACTGGAGGTTGGAGTTCAGGTTCAACTTCTTGTGGTAGGCTCTCCGGTGGAGTTTCCTCCCGGGGGCGTTTTTGCGTTGGTTCACTACGGGATTCCATTCTTGCTCAAGAATTGGGGACGGAGCAATACGAGGACAATTTCTGGGAGAAGGAAAGAGTGGGTGATCGTGAAATGGTAGAAATAGAATTCAGATTAATCTGGGGAATGGAACTAGGAGGGAAAAAAAAAACCAATACCGCTACGAGCTAATTATACGAATAATAGTAATAGAATTAATAGCGGTAAAAAGAAGGGATTAAATAATAAAAATAAAAATAAAAAAGAAAGGGACGCCGACGGGAAAGGGGAGGAAAAGCTCCTGAAGAATGAGGAATTGTGGTCCCAGCGACAGCGAGTCTTCAATCAGACTCGTCAACAGGCTGCATAGCGGGACCGCCGTTGAGAGATTTGCGGTGTCTCAAGAGCCGGCCAAGTTTTGCGAATTGGCAAAGGACACAAGTCCCGTTCGGCTCCTGGCACTATTCAGTCCATGCCATCATCATATTACGCCCGTCACTCGTTAGTTCGCATTTGCACGGATGCACCACCAGTGTGCCGCGACCGTCGATCGAGGAGGTCTGGTGGCTCTTTTGGGAGGCCAGCAGCGTTAGCCGCTTATTAGTCGGCGTTAGTGACCGTCTAACTGATCGGTTAGCTGGTTGGTTCAATGGTTGGAGGTCCAGTGGATCCACTGGCTGGGTCTTTTGCCATTTTTCTGTGTTCAGGCATTTTGGCCTTTCTTTTTTTTCCCTTTCCCTTTCTCCATGGCCCCTCGATTAGGGCATAACCGCGTACCCCATTCTTTGTATCGGAACAAAGGCAACCGTTTCGCCACGTCGAGTTGGGTAGCAAAGAAAGAGAGATCGCACGGCTATGGACATGAATTCGCTAGGTCTTATCGCATTGTAGAGGTTAGGTAATTCTGCTCTGATCCCAGACAAAAGTTGCCTCCCGGCCTCCACTACCCGCTGTCAGCAATTCCAATCACGCCACGTCACCGTGGTCTCAATTCTTCAGGCTCATGTGGTCCCCGACAGGCTATGGAAAAGAGTCCCGAGCACCTGTAGGGATCGGAGTGAGCCGTTTCTACTGATTCCATGTGGCGGTGGGGGGCTACATCCTCGATGCACGAATCTCGTACAGAGCGAAGTCATTGACCCTTGTTGGCTCCACAACGCCCTCTAACGGATCCGATGCATCACATCCTTAAAAAGGCAAGAGCCGTTGGTGTGATGGCAATGCGACTCTAGAGTCTAAACCCTGTTGGTGTGCACAGCACGAATCGAGCACAGTGAACCAGCTTAAGCAGTCTAGAACAAGCTATGAGGGCGAAGGAAGGCCCTTTGCAGCTGCCGCATGATCCCAAAGTACGCGAAACCTGACAGCCAATCAGGCCCTTGCCTTTCGCTAGTGCGCACTGGTATCTTTGCAATTTGATTACTGCTCCGGCGTTCCGTGGTTCATCGAGTCTGGAACCCGAATTTAAACCGCACTGGAGATCGGGGGACACGAGGGGGAGAGATCGGAGGTTCGTCCGGTCAACTTACGAGGTACTCTCTCGTTCTGATGCTCAAGCCCCTCACTGTTGATTTTTAAGTTTGATAAGACACTGGGGACAGAAACCGATTAAATATCATCTAGCGGCTAGATAACGGCCTTGTCCTACTTACGGACTCGTCTGGTTCTCCCCGGTACACAATCGACTAGATCCTGATTAGGGCTAACATCCGGTGGTCACATATTCCGTAGTGGCAGACTAAGGCCTTCTCTCACAAATCTTAGTGCGTTCCTTCTAGGAATCGTGCATAAGGTGCATATCCATCTCCTGATCCCGTGGCGGGGAGGGGCGCCGTCTCTTGGCGTGCTTTAATACCTTCCGATATACGAGGGTTATCGGGTGGAGGGGGGCCGCTCGTCGGATGTTCCCCGTTTCTCTCAAGGTGTAAGGGCTTGTGCACCTCAACAAGCCTATCACTCTGTCTCGGTCCTCACGATCTTCGTATTCATCTCATGCCTCCCTCCTGACAAGCAGTAGC